CAAAAAGGAAAGCAAAACCCAGTGCCACATGTATATATTCTTACAATCAAAGGGAATAAAAGATCCGATAGTTCGCTCACTGTTTATACATGAGACATAAAAACAATGGTTCTTCTACATCTCAGGGCTCCTGGGAACTAGCTAACAGAACCACTAATAGAACAATGATTCTTTTCATGTATTTGCCAAATAACATTATCAATAATAATAATAAACGATTACAGCATTTTCTCTTTGTTCCTATTTTGTTCCTCTCGCAGTCTCATTCCCTCTGTAGTTTTGAGCTGAAATGCTCACAACGGTGGGCAGGATCCAGTACTCAGGACCCCTACATAGGGTTCTCAGGTCACTAAAAGTTTAACCCAACACCCGTGGGGTCTTCAGGCAAAGTAGTAAATTGACGTAGAATGGGATGAGTGATACTGGATGAGTGGACAATATCCTGCATGATTTGTAGGGGATGCATGATTTGTAGGGGATGCAGGATAGCAGAGTCTGTAACCTGAAGTGTATGTAACCTGAAGCGTCTGTAACCCGAGGTACCACTGTACAGGGTTTATGTGAGGATATCCTTATCTAAGTATTGGTATGAAAATCCATCGGCAGTGCTTTTCCTCATACACATCCTCTCACAAGGAAACGCTTTGGGTGTCTGCCCCCCCCTCCCCATATGGGCCATTTAAAAATAATCATTGCTTGTACAAACTGACATACTATAGATCTGTATCATCTAGGTCATCACTAAAGCAATTCGTGCGGAAAAATGCTATATCTGTGGAGCTTGTTGTTTCAGCTTTCCGGCATAATCCAATCGCTCAGTTTCCTGGCAACTGTATTTGCAGGGATCACTTAGAATAATCAGGGTCTTTTGTTTCACAAGGGTCCCCTATTTTAAAAGCTGTGTAATGATGCCTCCTTAAGATCAGCCCTATGGATCCAGCAGCTCCTTAAACCTATTGCAGATTGCCAGTCCTGTATGCTGGCCCAGTAGACTCAAAAAACCCTCTTGGGTTTTGCAACCTACCTGGGACTGCCAAATTGGGAGTGGGGTGGTGGTCAAGTAATTGGCATGCCACAACGTGGGGCTGGTGGGTCACAGATTGCAGAGTCAGTGGGCTTTTTCCTTATCAAGGAGGAATCTCATAACTTTGAAATTCCTCTGGCTCCACAGGCAGAAAGTTTTCAATGAGGTGGCATGGGCTGCATTCTTAAAGGGGGCCTTTCTGCCAAATACAGTGGTACCTCGGGTTACATACGCTTCAGGTTACATATGCTTCAGGTTACAGACTCCGCTAACCCAGAAATAGTGCTTCAGGTAAAGAACTTTGCTTCAGGATGAGAACAGAAATCGTGCTCCGGTGGCACGGCGGCAGCAGGAGGCCCCATTAGCTAAAGTGGTACCTCAGGTTAAGAAAAGGTTCAGGTTAAGAATGGACCTTCAGAACGAATTAAGTACTTAACCTGAGGTACCTCTGTACATACCCCAAGCTATCATAATATTGTTTGAAGTGTTGCTTTTTAAAAGTGTACACAGTGCTTTTTTCAGGAGGTACTCAAGAGTAGTAAGGTAAAGGTAAAGGACCCCTGGACGGTTAAGTCCAGTCAAAGGCGACCTTGGGGTTGCGGCACTCATCTCGCTTTCAGGCCCAGGGAGCCGGCATTTGTCTGCAGACAGCTTTCCGGGTCTTGTGGCCAGCATGACTAAACTGCTTCTGGTGCAACAGGACACTGTGGTAAGTGCCAAAGCACACAGAAACGCCATTTACCTTCCTGTCGCAGTGGTACCTATTTATCTACTTGCACTGGTGTGCTTTCAGACTGCCAGGTTGGCAGAAGCTGGGATGACAGAGCAATGGGAGCTCACTCCATCGCATGGATTCAAACCACCGACCTTCTAATCGGCAAGCCCAAGAGGCTTGGTGATTTAGACCACAGCACCACCCGCATCCCTTCTCCCTACACAGTACCGGCACCTCTTTTGTTGTTGTTAAAAAGTGAGGCACTTACTGTAACAACATGATGAGTATCAGCACCTATTTTTCTGGGGGGGGGGGAGCACTTTACTTGCATACCTATGTGAGACACAACTGGACCTCTAGAAGTGCCTTTTTTATCATAATAAATCTATACCTTCCCCCAAAATATAGTGTTCTCTTGCACTCTGATGGGCAGTTAATTTATTTTACACAACTGAGGAGATTAAAAAAACCCAGAGTGATCATCAACAGGTAAGAAGCATGAATACCAATGAGATTTTCACTCCACTGGCCAAATAGTCGCCAGTAATTGATGTATTTCGTTGACAAGGTCAGAATACTCTGAGTCCAAATCATTTACTTTTCACTCCATTTACAACATTCTTAAGTGAGCAGCGTCACTCAGAAAGTAACGAACTAAACGAAAGTGTGTCAAAACAAGTCAGGATCATGTGGACATTGCTGCCAGAGCATTATATGAAGGCAGAACTTTATTTTTTTATTTTTGCAGCATGTGATTGTTGGTTCCGCACGCCATATCAAAAAAGAGAGAGAAATAAATAAATTTCAGCTGCATTAAACATATATCACATCCTTCCATTCTTGCCAGGAACGTCTGAGTCAACCTTGAAACAAAGAGTAGCTCAGATGAAAAAGTGTCGCTGGCACACATTTCTGCCACATTCATTGTCCCTGTTTTATGTGAATCCTGACAAATCACTTTTACTCTTTTTTTTTTAATAATAAAAAAGAAGGTATATGCTGAGTATGCTTCTGCAAAACTGACATTTACATGGCAAACCTGTCCATGTTTACTCAGGAGCAAGTACCAGTGTGTATCAGAATATTAAAACACGATAAAACATCAAACATTAAAAATGCCCTTAAACAGGGCTGCCTTCAGATGCCTTCTAAAAGTCAGATAGTTGTTTATTTCCTTGACATCTGGTGGGAGGGCTTTCCACAGGGAGGGTGCCACTACCGAGAAGGCCCTCTGCCTAGTTCCCTGTAACCTCACTTCTCGCAGTGAGGAAACCGCCAGAAGGCCCTCAGAGCTGGACCAGATGGCTTATTCCAAGGATGGAAGAACCTCAGACCCGGGAACCAAATGCAACCCTCCAGGTCCCTCTATCCCCCCCTTGGGACTCTTGCTCTGGGGACCCTCCTCAGGTTATATTCCTCACTGGCCTTTCTTCACACCATCGTCTTCCTGGCTGGAATGTGTCATTGCACACAAATAATGCCTTTTGCTTTCCTGGATGGAGGACAGAGAAGGCGTACATATGTTTAGAAGTTAGTCGACTGTACAAAGGTAAGGTTTACATTCATTGCTGTGCCATACCCTCCAACATTTCTCTGATGAAAACAGGGACCTCGTATTCCATATCCTCCAACATTTCTCTGATGAAAATAGGGACCTCCTATTCCATACCCTTCAAGATTTCTCTGATGAAAATAGGGATGTCCTAAGGAAAAGAGGGACACTCTGGGATCAAATCAGACACTGGAATGGCTTCTGTAAATCCGGGACGGTCCCTGGAAAATAGGGACATTTGGAGGGTCCGCTGCACCCACGTTTGCCTCTGGTTCCACTCACCACTAGGATTTACTCCCTGAAAAGCATCCACAGCTGAATGGGATTGGTACCCCTCTCCCAACAGTTGAGGCAGTGCACTTTTTGGACAGTGTTGCAATATTTAAAATATACACATATATGACGTGAGTTGGGAAAGAAAATGCAGCTGATGGATAGTTGCATGTGAAATCGCCTGCCCAGGAGCGCTGATTTCCCCGGGGTCGTGAATTATATGATGCCCATTAGATGAATCTTGCATCGTCCACTCATCCCCCCTGATCCCTGACAGAAAGCTTTTACATCAGTGCAACCGGAGTTCAAAGAGAAAATAAATTGCTGCCATGGTCATTTAGCATTTACACTTATTTTGCATTGGTGTAAATTGGTAGGCAGTTTGCAAGAATATTTTTTTTAAAAAAGGACAGTCTTACCCTAAGAATCTGTCTGCACAGCATCCTCCATAAATTTGCAGCTCTGACTCATGGTGTGAAATGAATCTTGCAAACAGCTCATCCACAGAGTCATCAGTCCTTGCTGGACGGGGGTGGAATCTACAGCCTGGATAGAGTGGGTTTTCATTTTGTTTCCTTGCTTCATGAATACAGCTTCTCTGTGTTCCTGAGCAATGGCATGTCTTTTATTAAGATGCTACCTGAGTCCTTCAGAACGGACAAACAACGATTCTATATACACAGACAGTTCATTTCTCCTCTTTCTCTCTCCAGACTGTTATCCCAGAATACCATTACAAATGTCATGGGGGGAAAGCAGAGATTTAGCAAGATGAAAAGGACCGTTTTTGTTGGGCAGTGTCAACAAAGTAGCAGGCTATGAGATGGTCTGGACAGCTCACTTGGTGCTAATAATCCATTTGTCTGCTCTGGTTAGTCAAGGCCTCAACTTGACCTTATGCTTGCTAAATTTTGGAAACACCATGTGGCTGCAGTAAGTGGAATGTAGCAAGCATTAGGCAGATGGAAGTATTTGCACTGGAGCAGACATGGTTTTTTTCCTCTGTTCGGTTCCACCAGGCACCAACAGAAGGTCACCAAGTCCCATCACTCACAGGGAAACTGGCTGTTTGTGAATTCAGAGCATGTGATAGCAAGGAGCCCTGTGTGCCAACCACTCCAGGCTGTGAGATGCTGAATGCCCTATTTTAAACAAACAAACAAACAAACAAACAAATGTAAAGGGGTGTTTTTAGGCTAACTTAGGTAGTGCACAAGCCTCAGACTTTCTCATTTGTAATTTTAAAACAAAAGTGTTTAAATGCATGTTGTTGAAGGTGTCCCATTAAAAACCCACCCAGATATGGTGTGGGGTGGATTTAATTCCATCCCTTTGAAAATTGAGATAGATCCCACTTTAAAAGTTGTCAAGGCATCGGTAAATCAGCTCCCTCCCACGAGGCAGCCCAGAATCAGAGACACGATAAGAGTTCTTACCAAGCCATTTATTCAATAATTCACAGAGAATGACAAAGGAATGCAGCCTTCCTAAAAATGGAGTTGCTCCAACTGAACTCCTTTCCCCCTTCTCTTCCTAGCAACAACACTTTCCCTTACGGTGGCCGCCAGGGGTTAATTGTCTCTGAGTCCTTTGCTCTTCCACTTTCAATGCACGCTGGGTTCTGGGAGAAGGTGGGCATCAGAAATGCTCTCCAGTGATAACGTGTCAGCTGGCTGCTCTGTCTCTGTCTCCCCCTTCTCTTCTCCCACCACCTCCCAACTCTTCTGTTCACCTGTCTCTGAGCTGTGACTTTCCTCAAACCACTGCTGTAATTCAATACTCCCTTTCTGGGAAGTTTGGGGGGCGGTCTCCACCATTCCTCCTCAGTCTCATCGCCCTCAGTCCAGTTCCTGACAATAGTTTTATGGAACTCCCTTGCAACTGAGGTCAGACAGGCCCCCTTCCTGTTGAACTTCCGGTACTAAATGAAGACTCTACTTTTATTCCAGCAGACATTTTAAGAAGATTCTGAGTTTATGGCTTCCTCTGATTTTCATTTTCATTTATTGAGTTAATTGTACACCACTTAGAGACTATTGTAATTAAGTGGTGTATAAATTGATGGAGATAATTCCATCCCTAGTTTCCAGTCATTCTCCACGAGTTGAAGGGCAGCCATTTCTAGCAAAGAGTTTTCTTGGCTCATGAAGGCTCCCATCTGCGTCTTCTGAATTTAGGGTTTCAAAACTAGGGGAACAAGCTTCTCGCGACATACCGTTAACTTCCAACTTGTGGAGTACAACTGAGAATGTGATGGAGGAGGCCAAGGGAGCGTCCCCACTTCTTCCTGTGTGTGATTAACATTGTGTGAAGGAAGGAGCACCTATTAGGGCTGTGGTTATTTATTTATTTAAAAACAGATATGGGAACATAACTACACATATGATGGAGTGGGAAGACATTTGATTCTGGAACTTAAACACAGCCGTCCTTTGACATTTTCACTTCTCCAATATTGGCAATGCAATTCTGTTACCAAGTAGTGTGTACAAAAAAACCACATCCAGTGGTACAAAGTGTGCAAATAAGTGCATCTAGTATTGAAAGCAACATACAAAATGCATTATATTAGGGGGAAATGCTTTCCAAAATTGTGACTATTAGGCAAACTCACGTACCAAATTTGTCTGTGAGGAGAAATTTGCACTGAAACGCTGATTACTTTTCCTGAAGAATTTTTTTTATTGCAAACTGATGTGGAAATGTGGAGATCTGAATTTAAGATTGGAAAAAAGAAGAAATTGAGAGAAACTTAAATGGACGGATTCACACCTCCCCAATATAATCTAGTTCAGCCTCAAGTGTCCATCAATTCTGCAAGACAACATATGCTGGCAACTTAAATTAATGCTCCAAAACTATTTTAAAGTTAGATATGCAACAGGGGAAGAAAACACTTGTTAGCCCTTCAACTCAATAATCAAAACCCAGTTTCTCCCTTTTCTTTTGAAATCCCCATCTGTCTTCAAGAGTAGCATAATGCAGAACCCAGAAACAAGCAGCAGCAGCAATTGCTGCTCTAAAGATAATTACATTCTCGTTCCTGCTACATGCATCCCTGTTTAACAGTTAAACATAAATATTCTCTGTCACTTCAACTTCCCTTTCATCTGCATCAAGACTTTAATCATGTTGCATTTGTACAACCATGTTCCAGTAGAACAGTTTAATATAGTCAGTTAGGAAATGTAATTTCAACATCAGTGGAACATGTTGCCATTATGAGCAGTTTCAGCAAAACACAACATAATGTTTGTGAACAACAACAAAAAAACAACAACCAAAAACCCCCCCTAAACAGTTAATGTTTATTTACTACATGCCACTTCTGGTTGTTCTGAAAACTCAATAATTGAGTGTCTCAAGGAATATGATGAGTTGCGTAACCAAAGTCATCAGCTGCAACATTTAATTTCTTTGTCCCAATATAATCCCTACAAGGAGAAGCCTGGCTCAAACGGCAATTATAAAATGTGACACTTAACAAGGATGCACACAGATTGATATATGAAGCCGCATATATTATGCCATTTGTAAATCTGTGTCGGTGCAGAAAACTACATTTAGCAAGTAAGTGCGTAACATATAAATACGCTGCAAATAAGCTACAGCTTTTGAACAGCTTGTGATTAAAGCTGTTAAAAATACACTACGCTGGACTGCCTTCTTTTAATTCTTAAGTAATGCACTCAGTGCATATCACAAGAGGAGAGGGTTCAGACTCTGCCCATGAGTTTTCCTGAGGCATCTGATAGGCCACTGTGGGAAGCAGGATGCGAGACTTAGGTGTACCTTTTGTCTGATAAAACAGGTCTCTTCTTATGTCCTTTGCCACTCTTCAGCAGAGTGCTTCTCAAACTTCAGATAACCCTATGCAAAGAGCTAGTTGCGTAGCGTGGGTTGCCAGCACACAGGGCTGAGTGGGTGGGAGGGAAGGAAATGGACACATGAACATTCAACTGCTTTGTGGTGCGTGCATCACCAAGGAGATCACAGCCACAGAGATAAGAAAGAAAAAAAGAGTCATTCCATTGTCTGGAGAGGTCACTTCCTGGTTCACACAGAGAAACCGTTTTCAACAGAGCTCAGCAATGGAAGCATGCAGCTGTATCAAGGCAGCACTGGTTGTTGAAATTTTGCACCCCCTAACAATTTTGCGCCTGGGGCAACTGCTCCTTCCTACCCCCCCCCCCACTAAACCATTGTAAAGAGCCATGTTGTGGCTTTAAAGCACAAACTATCAGTTGACTAGAGGTATTTCAATGCACCATGCAGGACTCTTTGATCATTTTATTTTCTCTTCATTTCTGACTTTTCCATTCTTAAGTTCCACCCCGCAGTTTCTGCATCCGTTTACGGCTGTGTTTGTTTGTTTGTTTAAAAAAGACAACATGAAAATCTGTACACATTTTTGTGTGTGCTTCACCCAATATATGGACTTATGCTTAATACACACCTTTTTGCAAGCAGTTTACCTTAAAATGATGTAATTTTGTACATTCTTTTCCCTGCTACAATGAATTCTTTTTGGTTGCTTCTTCCTAATGTATATTTTCTTTCTGTGCATTTGTTGGGCAGGGAGTGGGTTGAGAACTGCGTTGCAAAATTCAGAGAAGTGTGAAGTTCAAATGATATTTTAGCTTGCATATAGGTTCGGGAAACATGAATTAGGAAGGCTCATGTTAAACTGCAGATTGATGAATTTCCACCCTATCCCAAATTTGGACTGATTTAAATCAGCCTCCGTGTATTCTAACAGTGCAATCTCATGCATGTCTACTCAGAAGTGCTACTGAGGTTAAGGGAACGCACTCCCAGATAAGTGGCTATAGAATTGCAACATTAGGCTCCAAATCCTGGGCACTTATTTAGAAGTTAGTCTCACTGATATCAGTGGGACTTACTCCCAGGAAAGATGGACAGGACTTGACTTAAAACCAATAAATCATCTTCCTATTTCTCTGCTGTAAGTACAAGATGAATCAGTAGCCCTTGTAGTCATTATATACCTACAGAGCATATCAGGGTGAGAGCAAGCTATCGAAATATAAACTGGGTGCTGAAATTTTAACAGCCTCTCCTTCGGTGCTGCTTGGTGTATTCCTTGCATTTCATTTCTATTAAGGAACAGATAAATTATTAAACTGCTAAATTGTTCTTCAAATGCTCCAGCAAGCAAATAAATTAACTGGAGCCATGGCTGCAAAAACAACATTCTCTGTAAATGACAATCTACAATAATGATCATTTCAATCACAGTAATGGGGATGGAGGGGGTGTCAGAGAGAGCAGAGAATGAATCAATCCATCTACATTGTCCAAGCCTTATGCATTTATTTAGTTACGCACATAGCACAGAACTGGAACAAAATTTCCAAGAAAAGTTTTTAACATAAAATTCGTTTTGGGGGCTAACCTTTGTGGGATGTAAACCATTAGTAGAGTCAAATGCAACATTCCTTATTTCCCTAGAGTGGGCACAGGCAGGGGGACATCCAGTCAGTGTAACTGCCTGTTCCACTGGTCTGGAGCTTCCTCCCCCTACATGTGACCCAGGAGATGGGCATGGTTCTGGCTGACTCCATAAAAGAGCCAAGTCATGCAGCCATTTTCTCAGTTTAGTTTGTCTTGTCTTGTTCTCTCTCTTGCTGCCATGCTGCTCTCTTGCAGCCATTTTGTTCTATTAATGTAATTCTTGCTGTCTGCTGGCTCTCAGCCAGCAGCACATGAGTTCAGTCTCCCTGTGAGACAAACTCACTCTTTTTTTGTGTAACTACCAAGTAAAGCCTGCCTTTCAGGGATCAAATTGTGAACTGAAATGCGAGTAAACTCTTTGTTACTTTACTCAGAAATATTATTGTGTCTTTACTCTTTTAAGAGGGATCCAAAGGGGACACCATCTATGTCTTCTGGTTATCTAATTTAGAGAAGAGATGCAAAGGGAGCAAAAAGTAGATATTGTTCTGGGAGACATCAGAAGATACAGCTATTTAATCAATTTATTACATTTCCCCACCACCACCACATTTCTTCTAATGAGCTCAGGTTGATTTATGGACTACCTCCTTTTATCTTTACATCACTAAGGAGCAGGTGGCCTTGTGGTCTAAACCACTGAGCCTCTTGGGCTTGCTGATCAGAAGGTCAGCGGTTCGAATCCCCGTGATGGAAAGAGCTCCCAATGCTCTGTCCCAGCTCCTGCCTAAGTAGCAGTTCGAAAGCACGTCAGTGTAAGTAGATAAATAGGTACTGCTGCGGCGGGAAGGTAAACGGCATTTCCATGTGCTCTGGTTTCCGTCATGATGTTCCATTGTTCCAGAAGCGGTTTAGTCATGCTGGCCTCATGACCCAGAAAGCTGTCTGAGGACAAACGGCAGCTCCCTCAGCCTGAAAGCGAGATGAGCGGCGCAACCCCATAGTCACCTTGGACTGGATTTAACTGTCCAGGGGTCCTTTACCTTTTTACCTTACATCACTGTTTTATGTGACTCATTACCGTTTCATTGTTATTTCATTTTCACAGGTTACGTTAGTCACACTGATGGCCAAGTTGCAAATGAGGCTAAATGTATACTATGCAGTTGAATCTTTTCTCAGCCTCCCCACCCCAAAGTTAACAATCCTTGCCTAGTGCAGCTATGGGAGGTTTCACCCTCCAGTTGCGAATGGAATGAAAACCACTTAATATGAGAAAGAAGTCCCCCTGGGTACCATCAGCTCACAGCTTTCAGTGCAGGAGGGGAAGGGATATCTTTGTCCTGAGTACAGTTGAGTTCAGAAGGGATTAAGCTCCCCACCCTGTACACTGTGGTCCCAATAACAAAATGCCCCCCACCTGTGCTTAATTAAAGGAAATCAGAGCCGCTACATTAGATTCAATTAGCATTAAGTGTAATTGAAAATATGGAATTTGGCCTCAAGATGTCTAAAGAGTACTATATAAATTCTTTACATGCACGCACGCACACACGCACAAATCCTTGTGGAGTAAATTAGTCTTAAAAAGTAACAGGTTGTTGAATGTTCCTTTCATGCCTTCTGACTTTTCATGCACCTGGGAAAGAGGCCCATACAATATGGTTTTAAGGGTACAATAGAACTAGGGGCGCTTGCATGCTGATTTGCATGTGTGGATATGGCGTTACAAGCTGCCTTACACTGAATGCAGGTAACAAAATCCTGACAACCTACACCCTTGTGCAAATTAATTGAAACAAAGCATGTTTTGTGTTAGGTTGTGGGTGAACATATCAGATGACACAACAATTCTCCAAACAGCTCTTGTTTATTCACAGGTCAGAAGAGAACTGAACTGAAGGGTTCAGCCAGCCTGCTTATATAGAGCTCCAGTACAACGTAACTGTAACAACTTTCTGTAACTATCCAATCACTGAACGTCACTTTTGATCCCGTATTTGCATATGTGGACCTGAACTATCTATAGTATCCCCCTGCTGGCCCAGGGTGAGAACTTCAGTACATAACATTTTGTATCTTACTTGTAATCCTGTACGCAAAACAAACACGAAGAGTTAGTTGATCATGATGAGCCGGAAAAGAGGTATCCTGATGGTACTGGGATATTGCAACAGGACCTAGCCCCCTGTCGCACATCGAAAGTGGTGAAGAAATTCATGACAGAGCAGCAAATACAGGTACTCAGATTCATTCAGGGAATTCCCTGGATGTAAATCCCATTGAGAATTTGTGGGCTATATGCAAAAGTCGCCTCTGTGCTGTAGACTGTAAGGCTGTGGAGAAGGGCATTCAGTGATTGTTCGAAACTAGTAGACTCCATGCCAAACTGTGTTCAAATGCTGCTTAAAAATAGCGGAGGTCATATCCGTTACTAATGTACGTATATGTGAGTTTTGTACAATAAATTATATTGTTTGTTTCGATTAATTTGCACACGGGGGGAAGCAATCAGGAGGAAGCAATCTGGAGCAAAGAAATAGAGCCCAGTGAGGTGTTGCTTAATCCACCTAAAGCAGCATTCAGGGAAAACATCTGCATTTCAGCTCACCTGCAGGGGAACCCCTGTGTACAACAGAGGATGCTGAGGCACATCTCATGCTCAGTTCACAGGAGGGCATTTGAAATGATTCTTAAGGAGAGCCATAATTCAGTGGAAAGCAGAGGCAGCTCCAAGGGAGTGCAACCGGTACAGTTTCTCAGGCATGGAGCTTCTGGGGCACTGCTATTGGTGCATCCAATGGAAGTTGCTCAGAGTGGCTCAGGTAATCCAGTCAGATGGGTGGAATACAAATAACATCATCATCATCATTATGGCAAGAGGTGAAGGGCAACAGATTTTGGCATCACACAGTGTGCCACAGAAATTTGAAATGCCAAGGTCTGCCCTTGTGATGAGCACAAGATTAATAGATTTATTTATTTATTAATTCATTCATTCCTCGCCCATCTAGCCAGGTTTCCCCAGCCACTGGGCGGCTCCCAACAGAATATTAAAAACACAATAAAACATCAAACATTACAAACTTCACTAAACAGGGCTGCCTTCAGATGTCTTCTAAAAGTCAGGTAGTTGTTTATTTCCTTGACATCTAATGGGAGGGCGTTCCACAGGGTGGGCGCCACCACCGAGAAGGCCCTCTGCCTGGTTCCCTGTAGCTTCACTTCTAGCAGTGAGGGAACTGTCAGAAGGCCCTCAGACCTGGACCTCAGTGTCCGGGCTGAATGATGGGGGTGGAGATGCTCCTTCAGGTATACTGGGCTGAGGCCGTTTAGGGCTTTAAAGGTCAGCACCAACACTTAGTGTCTCCAGTTCAAAATATGGCTTATCCATACTTGTTGGGATATACTGTGGCTGTGTGCACTCACTAGTTCTCTGCATCCACACATTACTTAGGAAGATCAATGTTGTTGTTGTTGTTTAGTCATTTAGTCGTGTCCGACTCTTTGTGACCCCATGGA